ACCATATAATCTGATTCTTCTTCCTCCGTTCCTTTTTTAACTGGACCTGAATAGATTCATGAAGCCAAGTTGTTAAAATCACAAGCACAGAGACAATGAAATTAACAGCAGGTATTAATTCTAGTAAGCTGATAACAAATATATACGCATTTTATAGTACACAAAACTCGGCTTCTACTCTCAAGTGAATTTACAACCATAGTAGACATAAAATTTTTTATCTAAAATATTTTGCATTTGTGACAAGAACCTTACTTTGTATATCAGGGACCCGGAGTAATTTAGGCAGATGTCTCTGCGTGCGAGCATAAATTTCAGCCCTGTGGCCCTCCTCAAATGGTTCATTTTCAATAAACCTTTGTAATAAAACCTGGAATTGTTGAAACTGTTGAGCACTGTGGTTATAACAGTTGGGATTGTCAGGTTGGCATGTGATTAGCTGGTTCAGTTGAGTGTACTGACAGTGCAGTGCCTCCCAAGACAAGCAAATTTGAGCTACATATGATGTCTCAATATCCTGATAAGGATCATTCTGTGGCTGCTGAAGATGCTCAGTCTCATCATCAGGTTCTTCAATCTTCTTCAAAGAAAGGCAGCGAAAAGGGGAGGTAAGCTTCTTAGATGCAGATCTTGGTGATGGAGTTGTAGGGGTTTGGATACCTGCAGAACCTTTATTTGTGATGAAAATTTGAAGAATCTATAGGTATGCAGTAATCATGCAAATCAAGAAACAACAAATAAACTAATGTAAGGTTGTTAGAGTTTATATGGATATTAACAGTCCTAATCTTCAATATGGAGAGTATTATTTAGTTTGCATATTAAGAGGCCGTAACTGTGGATATGAACAGATAGCTTCAGAAACGTGAGCTTACTTTTACAAACTGAAATAGATGTAATTTAGTTCACATTTTGCTGAGAAATGATGTCTTATTCAAACAGCAAAACTGATATATTAGATTCAGAAGAGAAACTAATGTTAGCAAAATAAGAAACTGAAAAATTAATGATGCCTCGTGCGTCTGCGCTCAACTCAATCAAATTACTAGCATTATTGAGCTATCTACATTTGTCTGAAAATTCAACTCTCTACCAATTATTTCAAAGATAACTAAAAGCTCAAAACAGATGCACTTCTATTTATATCTATACTTATTCTTTTTTTGAATAGGTTGTTGGGCACAAACAACCTTTCCTTGTTTTTCTATTTTAGCTATGAAGGGGAAAACTTCATATGTATTTTATGTGGGTAGATTTGTATAAAAGATGTTCTTTCAAGCCCAAACAACCAGTCAAAAAGAAGTGGTCTTAAAAGTATGCTGTAATTTGAAAAAATATAAATTAGTACAAATCATTATGTTTACCAGTTTCATTAAGATGCTGCGCGCTCATCCGTTCAAAGAACAACATTCTCTCGCAGTACTTGTCGTATACAGCACCAAAGCCACACCACCATTGCCGGCCTTCTGCTTCTACATCCCTCCACTCGTTAGAGCTTGTCTCACCATGCTCTTCTTCTTCATCCTCTTCTGGGAATGACTCTTCTTCCGGAATCAACACCATAAAACTATTCCTTCTCAATTCTTTTAACCTCCGCTTGACCTCCTCTGTTATGAAATCATCATCATCATCCTCGGCCTCAGCTATAGAATCAGCATTAGCTGACTTACCAAAATCATCACCACTCTCCTTCCTAGGTTCCTCCAGCTGTGGCACAGGATTGTCCTCTGAAACATTTTCTGGGTCTGGTTTGTGGGCTTTTCTAAACTTTTTAACTTTGAAGAAATCCATAATCCAATCAACAACAGATAGGCTTTTCTCAATACTTACTCCAGCAATAATAACTCCACTTTGTTCCAAGGTTTCTAGAGACTAAAGGCAATGAGATCTACCAGTAGATATATTGTGACTTTTGAACAATAAAACCATTAAGTTATAACAGAAAAATTGGTAAACTTGCATTTCTCAAATCCATTCTGAGCCAGAATCTGATAAGTAAGAAACCCTAGATCTAAGAAGAAGATCTAACAATCCAAGCCTCCTAATAAGAAAATGAGTGATCTAAACACTGAACTGGTGACAACCCAGAAACTTTAGTGAGTCCAGAACAATAAAAGTACAAACTTTTAGTCAACAACCTTAAATAAAAACATCATAGAGCTCATCAAACGTCAAGGTAGACAAGCTACAAGACTTCAGAGACTCAAAGTACAGATCAAGAAATCACCTTTTGGTAGACTCACCAAAACGCCAGAGAGATCAGAACCCACAAAATTGCTCAAAGATCAACAGCAGATTTCTCCAACATTTCCAGTGCCTGGAAGTACATTACACTAGCAGCCACCTAAAAACCTCCTAGGAGCTCGGTCGGTGGCAGCATACACAGTGATCAAAACCCAAAATACCTTAAAATTGCTCATTTCTTCAACATTCCACTGCTCAAAACCACGCCTTTAAGCTACCCTACACTGAAAAGTAAGTCCCAAAAGATCAAAAAGTGCATGAACAGCTAAGACACCCTCATGAAAAGTACCACAAAGTAAAGTCAATCTTCCAACTGCTAGAAAGCCCAACACTGAAAAAATGTGAGCCCTTTAATACACAAAAGCTAAATCACCCAAAAATCCATGAAATCCCAGAAGATCCAAGTGCATTTATTAGCTACTGAAGCCCCAAAAACACAAAACTTTCAATTATGAAGAAAAAGAAACGGTCCCAGCCAGAAACCCAGCAACCCAGAAGAGCAAAATATGCAGAGAGAAGGGTGAACACTGTTTGGGAACAATTTAAAATGCTTTGCATGTGAGCGATAAATTGTTGGGTTGTAATAATTTCCCAATAAAATCAGCTTCTTTTTCCTTTTCAAATTAATTTCAATTTAATTTAATTAAAGTTTGCTATAAATGAAAGATCTTTTCTTTTTTTCTTGTTTGATTTTATTTAATAAATGAGTTGGGATTCAGATTAATTCGCTATAATTTAATAGGTGTTTTCTGAGTGTAACAATGTGTTGGGTTTTGGATTTTTCTCGGAAATGGGAAGAGCTCGAAACTCAAGAGGAACACAGAACAGTGGGCATTAGCATTTGGAGTGAGGAGAGAGAGACACTTGTGTCAGTCCTCGTACAGAGAATATTGTCATAAACACAGATTAGAAAAAAAAAGCCGCGCAAAAGTGTGTTTGATTTGTGCATGGTGATCCAAATTACATTCTTGCCCTCCTTAAACTTCTAAAATAACCATCACGTAAATCTTCATCTTTTTCTTTTCAATTGAATAAATATGATATGAAATTATTTTGCAATTTGTTGTCGGTGGAAAATTTCCATCCAATCAAATTTCACACTTAAGAGCATGGTGAGTTGTTCATGTGATTGACTAACCTCATGAAATATGTGCTTATTTGGTGTAGAAATATATTAAATTGGCAATCCATCGAAAACAAAACAGATCAACAAAGAAATATATGTATCTATAGTTAAGATATTGGAGGAATTAAATGAAAACATTCGTTACCTCAACATTCTCATTCAGGCGATCATATACGATGAGGTAAAATTCTCATTTGTGCCATTACATATGAGATTGCAATCTCAAGTCCAAATCTAAGAAATGATCGAAAATGAAGAAAAGTGTTATAAATTTTGATTTTATTTTTATGTTATTGTGTGATGATAATAAGTGCATATACTGTGTTATGACGTATTAGTTTATTGTTGTCATTTGATAATTTGATAGAAACAAAACAGAATAATAATCAAAGGTAGTTTGTCTCTCCTTATTGTAGGAACAATTGAAAGCAAAATGACAAATGGGCGTAATTCGTTTGTGCTTAAATCTTTTGCATCAGTTTCAATGCTGTGTACTTGGACAAACAAAGAAAACAAGTCAAGCACGAAGTAAATAAACACTGACAAAAGTTTAGATTATAGAGGTTGTCATTAATGTTCCAAATAGTTATTATATACTCCTTTATTAAAGGAGGATGAATTATTTTAGAGTACTAATTACAATTTTCTCTTAGAAAACTCTTAATGAAAAGAAAAGAAAATACGCGAACATGTATCTGTAATCAACATAAAAATAAAATAAAATAAAAGTTATATTTCAACATAAAAATAAAAGTGAACGACTTATTTTAGAGTGCTAATAACAATTTCCTCTTAGAAAATTCTTAATATATATATAAAGCAAAAGGCAGAGAATGGTAAAACATTCAAAATACCAGAAAATGTCATTGGTTAATGCAAACATTAAGAATTGAAATTACTAATTGAATGAGGATAATATGATAAATTCACAATTTTCATATTAAAAAATTTAAAATTAAAAGAAAAATCAGATAATAGATCTTATTTTTATAGAACACAACTACCCATTATCTTTTTTAATTCTAAAATAAATTTTAAATTTTTTTTTAAAAAGACTCTCGCATGTGCGGAAACGCGTACTGAGAGGTTAGTGAAAAGAAAATAAAATACTCGATCATCTATCCGTAATCAACATAAAAATAAAATAAAATAAACGTTATATTTCAACATAAAAATAAAAGTTGAAATAAAAACTCTTGTGGGCTTCAACATATTTGGGCCCACAGAAGACAAGTCCGTTTCGATAGTCTACTGCCATAATCATTGGAGAGGCCTTCAACCAAAACACTTGATATCGTGAAAATTAAAATTTAAAAAATAAAATTTCCGTTGCCGGGACTTGAACCCGGGTCTCTCGGGTGAGAGCCGAGCATCCTGACCAACTAGACTACAACGGATTTGTTAATCATAACAACAAAGATTATATATATATACCATTGTACAAAGACCGTAACCTTATTTATTAATTTAATTTCGCCCAAAATAAAATTAGTGTTTTATCCCTCATTGATTTCTTTTAGACAATTCTAATTTCTCCCAACTTTCTTCCCCAACCTGGGTGGCATTTTCACATTGTAGTCCACAAAAGTTGTAACTTCTAATGGCATTTAGAAATTAGTCTAACAAAACATAAGGGGTTTGACCCAAAAAGAATCTTGTTCACGGCTTTATGCTAAAATATTATTTCAAGTTGCATTACATTCTCGTGGTTGTAGTTGTACAACAAAAAATTTCAAGTAACTCTTCTCCTCTATTTGGGTATTCGAATCATGCAACTATTAACAGTACAAATATAAACAGTTTCTTTATGCTCCTATCAAGCATGGTACACAAGACTTTCAATTTTTCAGGGACAGAAGGCAGAAGCAAAGAGTGACCCCTATATATACAAATACTCATGAATCCTGAATAACTAGGCATTTGAGGTGGATCAGTAACCTAACCAAATGGATGGTATTGGCTGAAATTTGGTCTTTGCGCAGGCCAACACATCATAGTAATCTACATGATCAAAGCAGTCGCGAAAATCTGTGAAGAGCTTTTCAAACACCCTCCATTGGACTTTGATTGATCTTGAGTAGGGGTATGGAAGAAAAACCTGCTGAATATGAATGAATTAGCAGCGGATGACCTATACTACATCAAAGAAAATAAACATTTTGCAAGAACAAGATAAACTTGGTCGTGTTTGTATGGTGCTTTGTCACAAAATACAGGTAATTTCTCCTACAGTATCATCCATATTCTCCACCACTAAAACAAAATACTATCAGCCAACACATCCTCTTTAAGTAATTTCATAAATCAACTCAGATAGTAAGTGTCAGAGAGAAAAGACTGAACTAATGTATGCTAGGTATCTCCACAGTAGTTATAGTGAGTATATTAATTAACAGAAAAGATAGCTTACATCCCCCTCTTGTGCGAGACGTTTAAGTATTTGAAAAGTGTGCTCATTTTCCTCTAAATTGTCAAGAACAGCCAGCCAGATCTGGGAAGCAAGATCATGAGCCATGTCTCTCGATTTACCACAAGCAATAAACTGATCTGCTAAAACACGCAGTAATCCCGGGTCATGATGTGAAAAGAATTTACAGCCTGATATTAAATAAACTAAAGTGTGAGCACCAAACTTCACTATCAGATTTGATATCCAACAATCCTTGCCACATGACAGTGGACAATAATGGGTTCAAGATAACATGTACATTCCAATACCATATTCTAATTATCAGGACACTGAGATTGGAATTCTAGAACATCAAATGGCATCATGGATCACAATTTGTGAGGTACAGACATGGGGATGTATACTTATGCATGCCATACATGTTATTTAAAGCAAAAAAAAATAAAAATTGAACATGTCCATAAGTCAGAAGCAAATGCAAGATTGGGGATCAGTATTGTCATTGCAGATATCAAATTTTCAAATCTAAACATATGAAGGTAGAGAGCAAGCAAAATTTGAAACAGACCTATTATGGTTCCATGCAGTATGCTAGAAGAGGGTGGCATAGTTGAAAGCTCAAGCTGCTCTTTTAGAAATAAATATGTATGGCCCACAATCTCATCAATCTCACCATCCAGAGAAAAGATATGTTTACTGACATATAAGGCTGCAAATCTCCTGAGAAAATTGTCAATAGCTTAGCAAAATATAATGCACGGATTTTGTAGTGAAGCACATGCATCAGACCAGCAGCTACTGTAAAAGATATCCTTGCACTTGTAAGTCTAAGTTGTTTTTTCTGCATTGATTTGGAAACAAGATTATAACGTGGATCTTAGGGGAGAGTCACAGCTATCTGCTTAGGATGGGAAAGGAGATTCTTCACTAGAAATCCAGAACAACAGAACATAAAAACTCAGAAGAAAGTAATTATTAAAAGAGAAAAGAGAAATTAGAAAGTTAGAAATGGATAGAAAGCAAGAAAAAAGAAATGACCATAGCAAGGAGAAATGTTATGCTACCTCTTGCTCAACCCTCGAGGGATAGGTCCAGGCCACCTTTTAGCTTGGTTAGCCAAAGGATATGTTGTAGCAAGAGCAGCTTGCCACAAGCATTCTCCACGAAACAGATTGGCCCACTGTTTTTTGACACAGGATATTTGTGCCCACTCCGAGACAGGAACTCGAATGAAAATTTCTATTAGGAGATGATCAGGAAGCTTTCCAAATGAACTATCAACTGACATTAGAGTTCTGCAATGTGAGAACCAAAAACATGAAAGGTTACTTCAACAAGAAAATCAACAATAAAATGGACAAATCTTCGTTTAAAACAAGGTCATAGTTTATGGTTCTGAACAAATACAACATTTTCCAAAGCACTGAAATTTCCAAACAGAAGAATAAATTCTTAACCTAGTGCTATTAAAGAAAACTACCAATCATTCTAAAACAAACCCAATCCAGCTCCAAAAATTATATTAGCCAACACACTCCATCGTAAAGTTTATATAGGGTGCATGTATTATTATCCTTTGGAAGTTCAATGCCTTCACTGAATATTCCATAGCAATTACATGAACCAATCCATCATCCAAAAGGAGATAGTTGAAAAGAAAAACTTAGCCATTTGTAGAATAACTCTCTAACCAATCAATATATCATAGTCGGATAATTTCTGAAGTGGTCATCAGAGAATGCAAGGAATTTCAAAAAATAACAAGATTAACTTATTCTAGCTTAGAGAAACAAGACAATCCAAGGAGATGACAGAAATAAAAGGAAATCCTTCGTTCTTGCTCTAGAGACAAAAAACCGTTGACCAACAACTCCTCCAGAAATTAACATCAAAATACAAAGTAACCCATACTTGTTTCATCAAAATCAATCCAATTCTGATAAATTTACTCAAAGACCAACTACTATACAAAATAGAAGAGATGAAAAGGAAGGAAATGAATGGAATATCACTTAATTAGCCCACCAAACACATGTTACTCTTGCAATTACATAAAATGCAAAGCTGAAACAATTCAGGATACCATAAGGCACATAAACTTGCCAGCCCACAAAAGCCTTGGTGAATTAACATAATTCTATTAAATTTTCAGTTCAAAGTTCAAACCCAAAATACATTCTCATCAAAAATGAAAAAGGGTAAAAGAAAGATGAACACTTTGTGAAAAATCAGGATAGATAGGTACTTAATCTGCTAAAAATAAATATACAGAGTAGAAAAGTTCAAAATTCTATTAAGCGCATGGAAGGAACTTGGCCACACCCACAAAAACAGAGTAAAAGCTCAGTGGAGATTTCATGGTGCAAATATGAACTGAATGAGATAAACAACAATTCAGCAACATCACCGGGCAAACAAAGTTTATACAAATAAAATTTGAGAGAGAGAGAGAGAGAGAGAGAGAGAGAGAGAGAGAATGAGAATGATAATGAAAATTAACCTGAGAGGAAGAGTGAGTTTTTCAGCTCAAAGCTTTGCCTTTGTTGGCCGAATTTTCAGCTGAATGTTGCAATAGAAGAAAAGGGTACTGCTTTGCTCTGCTTAGGTGGCTATTTCAGGTGAGTGACGTGAGATCTTTTGTTTAACTTCTTAAAAATTGAGTCTTTTTCAATTATCTTTCTGGTTTTTTGGGGTCCCTGCAGAGTTGCTGCTGTTCGTAAGCTTGTTAATTACAGAAAGAATAAAATAATGAAGAAAAGCCTTTTTTGTGGTCTGCAATGCTTTGGATGAATTGGCATATGTGCCTTCTAGGATACACGTCTGTTCGTGGGTTGGCTTTTACTACCAACCATGTGTTGGATGCTCGGATCGGATGTGAAATGATGCGACATACTGTTGTGGTTATTTCCAGTCAGCATAATACGATGTGACATATTATGTTTCTTTAAAAAATAATATAAGACCCATAAAGGAATAATAAGGGTCCCAAATGGTAACTGTTGTGGAAAACATGTTACTATTGTTGTAAAAAATAACTTACTTGCAATGTGATGTATATTTTTCGTCTTGTCTTTTTTTATTATTTTGTGATGAAAAGATAAGTTCATATAAAGAATATTAGATATGCTATAGATATTGTGGAAAATTACTTACTTGCAACGAAGCATGTATTTCTTTTTGTTTATCTTTCTTTTTCATTGATGTAAAGAAATTACTAGATAAGAGAGACGTTGATGCAGGAGAATAGGGTGGATCAAGATATATATATTTATCATTTAATTAGTTATTTTATGATATATTGTTATTTTCTTATTTAGGTAGTTTTAGGATATTTTTTATTATTTATGTGTGATTTTATAATTAATTAGTTTACTTTTGAACCAAGCAGTCTTGGTGCCCAAGTTTTGTAAAGCCTATAAATAAGGCTATTGTAATAGTTGTAAAAGAGGGGGACATTGATGATTAATGAAATAGTTTATTTGTGGCATGAATTTGCTATGATATATGTGAGTTTGCACTAGCTCTAGATTTCGGTGCTCGTATATGTGGTTGGTGACCTGTGTCTTAATCCCAATCCCCATCAATTGGTATCAGAGCTATGGCTCAAGATCTGCTTTATCGGGGAGGTTTTTGGATGGAGGGTCGTATTGACAACTACAACGACATGGAGGAAATTAGGAGAATGCTACAGCAACTTACGGAACGCGTCGCTCGCATCGAAGCTCGAACCCAGATAGGTAAGAGTTCTGACGGGGAGAGATGCGTGAACCCTTATCTGAACCGAGTAGCTCGCATCGACACTCTAAGCTGTGGGGAGTCTTGACGGGGAGTACGAGGGGGATAACCCTTTTCATTATTACGCTTTGCTGTGTGAGTCAAGTGAAGAGGGGCACGGTTATTCTCATTGTGTCTTTGAAGGTATAAATAGATTTGGTAATTTTGGTGCATCTTGTCATTCATCAAAGTTATTAAATTTGGATTTGCCTCCAATATTTGATCCTTGCAACGTGAAAATTGCAATGAAAATTGTTTGGGTGTTCAAAGCAATTTTGATAAGCAATTTATTGATCAAAACAGTGAAGAGATGAGAATTGAGAAAACTTTCGAAGATATTATTGATTTTTTGGGCATCAATGTTTTCACTTGGAAGGTTGCCAAAACTTTGGTTGATTTTGTCAATCGGTTGAAGATTCTAGAAAGAAACATTCGCATTGTTAGAGGGAGTAAGAAGAAGCCAAGAATAACGAAATATTCCAAATATCTTTTTATTTAGAAAGGAAGGTTTCAATTGGATGCTAAAAGATCCAGAATTAATATGAAGCAATTGAAGATTCTACTCATATTTTCCTCAATCAAAGGCTTGAATTTGAGGACGAATTCTTTCCAACCAAGAGAATCTGATGCAGGAGCATAGGGTGGATCAAGATAGATATTTATCATTTAATTAGTTATTTCATGATATATTATTATTTTCTTATTTAGGTAGTTTTAGGATATCTTTTATTATTTATGTGTGATTTTATAATTAATTAGTTTACTTTTGGACCAAGCAGTCTTGGTGCCCAAGTCTTGTAAAGCCTATAAATAAGGCTATTGTAATAGTTGTAAAAGATGGAATATTGATGATTAATGAAATAGTTTATTTGTGGTATGGATTTGCTACGATATATGTGAGTTTGCACTAGCCCTAGATTTTGGTGCTCGTGTATGTGGTTGGTGACCTGTATCCTGATCCCGATCCCCATCAATTGGTATCAGAGCTATGGCTCAATATCTGCTTTATCGGGGAGGTTTTTGGATGGAGGGTCGTATTGACAACTACAACGACATGGAGGAAATTAGGAGGATGCTACAGCAACTTACGGAACTTACAGCTGTATTTAATACTTTCTCTTTAACTTTAGAATAAGATTTTTTTATTTTAAAAAAGAAAGAACCCAAAGAAACCACCTCCCACCACAACCCAATCCCCATCCTCGCACTTCTTCCACCCAACCCAATAGTCCATGGGACTTGACATGTTTCTGTAGTGTGCTGGTTATTTCTTTTTGGGTTTGTTGATAATCATTTTTACAAAAACCACAAAGGAAATAATCAGTTTTTGTTATTTCCAGTGATTTCTTTATGTGGTTTTTGTTGTAGATTAACTAGGTGGCCAACCAAAACCCTTGGGCGATTAGGTTGGGTGGTTGGTAGTGCAAGGTAGGAAGATTTGGGTTGTCGTGGGAGTTGGTTTCCGGCGTCTTTGGTTTTTTTGTTTTGTAAATATTATTCTAGAGGGCAAAAGTCTAGCTGTAAAATAAAACACTATAAATTTTTTAAAAATGACACATGACATATTTTGAATAGAAGTACTACTAGCTGACGTGGTAGTACAGTATCATTTTATAATTTATCCAGGTGATGCTATTTAAAGGGTATACCTGCGCGACTATACTTTTAAAATATTCCATTTATATAGTATAGCCGCGCGGCTGTACCTTTAAAATTTATATATATATATTTTATGTTGACATTATACGACCAAAATTACAAATTCTAGTTTTATCTGAAAGCCAAAGCTAAACTAAAATTATTAAAAGATTGTTCAATCTTAAAATCCAGTCACATTTCACGTTCACCAATCACCATTTGAATGTATGCTAATACGCACACTCATAAATCCACCATCTCTCTAAACTCACCAGAAAAAAGTCCAAATGAAAAGAAGCAGAAGAAAACCCATAAGAATTACGAAAATCTTCTCATTCTTCTGCTGTATGCCTTCTTCAACAGAGCTTCACGTCCAGGAAATCTGTTTGAATTCTCAACCATCCAATCTTCACCATTCTCTTTGTTCCTCCCTAATCCAACTCCATTTCCAATATCACCCCCACCCTTTTCCAAAATCCCCAACTTCTCCTCCCTCTCCTCCCTCACCCCACCTTCTTCCCTCTTCATTCTCAACCTCCCCCTTCTCTCCCTCCTTCTCTCTCCACCTTCCCCCAAAACCTCAACCTTCTTCTTCTTCTTCTCCCTCTCTCTCATCCTCTCCGCCTCTCTCTCTCCTCCTCCATTTTCACTCAGTCTTGGAATTCTTCCACCTCTAGAAGTACCCAGAAGCTCAAAATTCACTTTGCTCCAACCAATCTTGTCATTATTATCCCAACCAAACCTCTCACTCATTTCCAACAACTCAGAAACTCCACCTGCACCAAGAGCACTGCTCCTGTTACCATTCAAAACGTTCTCAGCCAACTCCCACTCGATCCGGTCCTTGTAAACGGCGTCGTCGAGCACTTGGTCTGCGAGCTTTGCCCAGTCTTCAAAGTCACGGGCTCGGAGGTTCTTGGAGACCCATCTGAGGTAGCTTGAAGGGAGAGTTCCTAGCATCTTGCCCTTGTGTTTTCCAAAGTCTATGACTCTGTCTCTTGCAGGTGGTGGTGTTGTTGAAGAGAAGAGAGATGGTGGTTTGGGGGTTTTGGGTTTGAAAGAGCAAGAGAGGTGGAGGTGTGGAGCGGTGTGAGAGAGGGTAGGGTTTGAAGGTGAAGTGTGGAGATGGAAGAGAGTGCTCAGAGTGGTCATGGTGGATGGAGTAGATAATGTTGAGGCAGAGAAAAAACAGAGTAGATTACATTTACATGTGATTTGGAACACTGAAGGATATAAAGGCAATTTATAAATGTAATAGTTCATTATGATTTTTTTGTTGAAATAATATTTCATTAATTAAGAAGAAATAGAGTCTTCATATTTGAGGCATGTATGTATGGTAATTTTATTTCTTTCCATCTATTGTTTTTCCCACTATTTTAAGGGAAAATTGATAACTTCATATTGAAAATCAGCCCATTTAAGTTAACTTTTATTGGTGATTAAGTTGAAGATTAATGTTTATCTACATTTCAAACATGCTAATTTCAGTCCTATTATTTCAACGAGATCAATGTTATTTAGGTCTTCTTATTTTACACATCAATCTTAACACCATGTCACTTATATTTAATTTTCCGTCAAAATTGTTCACGTTATTTGTCCGTGAATTTATTCTTAAAATTGTTGTTATTAAATTAAATTAGAATTGATGTCGCATATGACATTGACGTGGGACATAAGCGAAAGAGAATGAGAATTACATTGCTTTAATAGAAAAATTAGGGATAAAAATGATGCGTAAAATGTAACAAAGCAAGTAGGAGAAAGATTAATTTTTCCCTTTCGATTCGAGCGAAGAAAGCATTTTCCCTTATCCAACATACGAGGTTGGCACTCTGCTGCTCTCTGATTTTCAATCCTGACATGTCAGCTTCTTGGCACACTCTCAGCAGCCTCACTGCTCTTCCGTTAACCTCAAAACACCGCCGTCTAATACCATCGTCATCATCATCATCACCAGCATCAGCCGCAGTATCTCAGTTGCTCACAGTCGCCCACTCCTCGCTCACCGGATTCCAAGAACTGTCCACGGAGCCTAAGCAAATTGAAGCTATAAACTTGAAAGATGCCCGCAAGAATCAGAAGCAGAACGACGTCGTCCCAGAGAACCAAGAAGAAGAAGAAGAAGAAGAAGAAGAAGAAGAAGAGCATGGAATTTCTAAAATCCCAGTGCCCAGGCAGAAGTACATCCCTGTTTCCAAGGCTGAGCTGCTGGACGGCGTCGTTTCGACTGTGTTCCAAGACAAAAATGGCGATGAAGATGATGCTCTGCAATACTTTCTTCTTCTCTCTTCGTAATCCCATTGAACCCATTTCAATGGCTGGAAGAAACAAAGACATATTGAATAACCAAAAGTTGTTTCATTTGCAGGTGCTTGGACTCTATTCTTCATGCTGAACACAAAAGCATCTTGGAAGCAATGCGAGCTGATTATTTTGATTCCAACTCCATGGAACACAAGCAAACAGTTAATGAGGTTGAAGAACAAGTTGTGAATAATGGGCAGGGCTCAGATTCTGATAGGAGTGGCATTAATGGAGTTGAGAGTATGGAGGCAAATGGGGATGAAAAAGTTGAAGCTGACAAGCAAATGCCATTCGATTATGTTCTGGGGTTGAAAAAACTCTTGGGTTCTTCGGCTAAGAACGTCAAGAGGTATCACAATTTTTTCTTGAAGTTAATATTTTTCTTCATTTTTACTACCCAATTTGTAAACTACTGGGAAACTCATCAAGCACAAGCTGGAGGCTTTGAAAAGCTTCAATGGTAGGAATTATGCTTAGTGCTTCAGGTCTAGGATTTGTTATACTCACTCTAACATTGGATTTAAGAAGTAAAAATGTATGCTTGTAGTTGTTACAGAGTATATTTGATTTGAATTGTATCAGAAGACAACTCTTTATCTAATTTCATGTTATAAAATTAACTCTTATTACAGAAATAGGACAAAGATGGTACTGTGTTGGTTATTATTAGTTTCTTTACAATGCCAATTTGAGGTTAAAGTTTGAATGATCTCCTTTTTAATTTTTTGGAGGCTTGCACAGTGTATGTTCTATATTTATTCTCAATTATTCTTCAGACTCATGGTATGGAAACCTTTGACATCAATCCTATGGAATATTTTCTTTTGATGTAGAGTTGCTGTTTCCGCTCGTTTCCAGCATTCTTTCATGCAACTTCTTTATGATGCTCAGTTTGTAGAACTATCAGAAAGGGATTTAATGCTGACATCTGCATTGAACACTGATTATCTCCTTACTTTGCCCGTATATGTTGACTGGAAGAGGGCATCTGAGTCAAATGCAATAATATTCAGGTGATTCTAGTTTTTTATATTATTCTTTACACTAATTCAAGCTGAATCATGAAGCCGTATTGCATTATGACTAATTTCATTCTTAAAAAACATAGATTTTATGTTTCTGGTTAAGAGTCAAGATCCCTGAACAGTATTTATGCGACCATTGTGTGTTGAGCTGACCACTTTCAAGATATTAAACTATCTAAATATTGACTCCACATGTAAATTCCATCTGCCAGGCGAGGATATGCAACAGAGAGGCAGAAAGGCCTGCTGCTTGTGGAAAAACTGGATTACATACAGTCCAAACTTCTACAAGGAGCCTTCTTCATCGTATCAAAACCATTGGGGAGATTTGGGAGCTGGATAACTGAGGTCATTGTCTTTTTCAGAACAATGGCTGCCTCTTCATCTTGGGCAGCAACCTAGAGGTTTTTGTTTCTATTCCCCTTTCTTCTATATTTAGTTTGACATACTTTTTCTCTCTTGCTTTATGACAGGCATTCAAAGTTGCTTGTCAAACTCCAGAAGTACAAGATTTGACTAAAAGAATGCAACTTTGGCTTAAGGAGCTGTCTGTTTTTCAGCAAGCATTTCGTTATAATGAACAAACTTCTGATGATCTTCTAGGAGTAGAGCAACCATCAGATAGGGACCTCCCAATATGGTTGGCAGCACAGAGAGCAGTATCTCGTTATGAAGGGCTTTTATCTACAGTTGGACCCCGTGGAAGGCTCTTAAAGAAGTTGCTTTCATGGATTGGACTTATTTCCCCTACACCAGAAACACCATTTGAGCTGGATGGTGATACTAATGCTTCTGACCCTTATGCAAGGTTTTCCCAATAATTTTTTTTTTGTTCACACTCCATCACACTTTATCCCTGTTTTTCTATATCCAGTTGTTTGCTGCTTTTCCTCTAACTCGAAGAGAAGCTATTAACTTAAGAGAAGCTATTAACTTAACCAACTGAAAGCAGTACCAAATGTCAATCTTCTTGACCAAAATGAATTTGAGCTCAATACATCGGTGTTGGTCCCTTAAATTTTTTTATTTTTAATTTTTTTGGTGTATTGGTTTCCTTCTTTTTTTTTTTTTTTTGTTTGTAATCTCTTATTTATTTCGAAGATTATATAGAATTGATTGTATTGTATTAGACTTGGAGTATTCACATTGAAGTTCAAACGTTAATTGATTGAAACAAAAACCTGACTGGTTGCATGAAGGACCATTTAATATAATGCCATGTTAACAAGCGATTTCATATTTCAAATGTTTGGCCTGTTCTTATAGTCATGGATTTTCTAGTTGGAACCTTATAATGGTCAAATAATAGTAATATTGTTCGCACAGGCCCATTTTCTTATCAAGGATATCACTTAGTGACATATGGAGACCTGCTACAAGGAAATACTGTGGAAAGGACATTTGGAAAATGCTAAAAACTTCCGTTTCTATTCTTTTCTCACAGTCAATCCTCCAGGTACTGCTCATATATAGTTTGATTCTACTTCCTTAGTTACCTCTTTTGTATAAGCAAACCTTCTAGGATGATTAGTATTTCTCTTCTGTTGTAGATATAGTTACATACTGATGGTAATAATATTTGGTGTCTTTGCAAATTAGGAGGCAGCATTTCAAGAATTGATTCTGCTTTATACCAAAGAAGTAGATGACAGCAATACTGGCGGTAATGCTGACGTTCCATCGTTGCAGTTAAAGATTTACGAGAGAATTCCTATTCCAGATCTACCAGTAAATACTTCTGTCTCAAATTTAAAGCTCATCCAATGTAATTGTCATTGCTTCTAGGAATTGATTTTCAAAGTTAGTATTTTTTCTAGTTCCTGCCTATTGATTTTCGTGTTGTTTTTAATTTGATTTGTAGGTTATCTTTCCCCACAAAAAGCTATCTTTCCGTATCATAGACACGGTATGTAGATCATTGTTACATGCTAACAATTATGTAGCTTAGTGGATGGATAATTTCCAGAAGTAGTCTCTCTTCTCCTCACCTGGCTACCATCTTTTTAGTAAAATTTTGACTTCTTAAATTACTATTCACTAGTCCTCTACAAATAAACATTATTGAAAAATTAATGAATGTATTTATTTAGAGGCTTTTTTTTTTTCATTGCTACGAACTATCTATGCATCCTAACATATGAATGATACTAAAACTATTAATTTGGTTGTTTATGGTTTTCTCCCCCTTTGGAACCAATCCCAGCTTCATTCTTGTTGACTGGCAGTGAGTTCTAGTTACTGTGGTTATTCATATTTTGATTTGATCACTTAGGAGAAAAAAAAGTAGGATAATGCTGATTATTGAATAAAGGTCCTTTCATATTTTGAGACTCATGGCTGTATTCTGTTAATTTGCAGGTACGCTTGGACATCGCCTCAATATTAGGGCTTTCAGCATACTTCATAAACTACAAATTTGAGAATGTCTTATATTCCCCGTATGCATTCCTTTTTTTAATATTTTTATAGCAGTTGTTTTTTAATAGCAAGATGACCCTTAATTCTAGTGCTCAGCGATTCCTTTTTCACCTTCCTTTGACTAATTTTTCTATTGAGATTGTCTCTCAAAATGCAGTTTAATTTCCTTGGAAATTGCCATTAATTTATCTTATTTTAATATAATGACAGGTCAGCAATATTTCTTGATGTGGTTGCAATCAGCGCTCTCATAATTTATGTGTCCCGTGTGGTTTTGGGATACAAACAGACATGGGATAGGTATCAAGTGAGTCAACTTCATCTTTCTATTCCGAGTTTACCATTATATATTTCTGAATGTGATATTCAGTTTAAAGTACTTAAGTGATTTCCTAAAGGAGCCTTGCATTACAGCTTTTGGTCAACAGGACGCTTTATGAGAAAACCTTGGCAAGTGGATTTGGCTCAGTTCATTTTCTT